ACATTAATAGTAAACCAGACAGAGATAATACCAGATTTGGGCAGCAGTAACCGCAGGTCAATCTACAAGCCAACAAAGCAAACCCAAACTATTACAGAACAGCTTCTAATAAAGAAAAGCTTTCCAAATACAGTGATACGAAACAGGACAGCAGTAGCACTGATATGAGTTAGGTAATGGGCAGATTAGCAGCATACAAGTTGCGTTTTGACAGACATCTGTGTAATGATAAATCAATCCAAACTAGTGCTGACCGATTTGTTTGTTTGTAATCCATGTTCTGAACCGTCTAAAAAGGACACTTTTTCCCTATTCTACCATCCTGAAAGTGTGTGTGTGTGTGTGTGTGTGTGTGTGTGTGTGTGTGTGTGTGTGTGTGTGTGTGTGTGTGTGTGTGTGTGTGTGTGTGTGTGTGTGTGTGTGTGTGTGTGTGTGTGTGTGTGTGTGTGTGTGTGTGTGTGTGTGTGTGTGTGTTCCAATTTGACATCCCATAACCAGGATTAGAATGTATCCTCTCTCTCTTCTCTGTTATTGCCTCAGAATAGGGCTTTTGTTCCAGACTGGAAACTCAGATAAACACACACATTCACACATATGCACACGCCCACAGTCCCTCTCAATCACACACACACACACACACACTGTAAACACACTGCGCACCGCTCCATAGCCTAGCTGTGACCTCAGATATTAGCTCCCTGCCAAATGTGACTACGGCCAAGTGACACAATAAATACACACAGTCACAGACACACTCCACTCTGAGTATCACTGGAGCTCTGGTTGACCAATAGCAGGAGCTACACTTGTCTGTATTGGTGAAAAGTGGACCGAACAGTGTGTGACAGTATCCCTGTGGTTTTATTGCTGGTTCTTTATCTGACGTTGTGAAGAGAGGGAGGATGATAGCAGAACATTGGCTCATTGGACAGATTTGTGTCAAATGTAGCATTTAGAAAGTTGCAAACAAGATGCATTTGCAAAGAGGGTTTTGTTTTGTATCTGCTGTTGGCAAATTGGCATGTTGCTTTTTCTGATTTTTAAGTGGTTTTCTATGGTTTGAGTCACAAACTAGAGCTGCTGTCTTCTTGAAGGTGTTCAACAGCAGACATATTTGTCAGTGCAAAAATCACTCCTTCTTTCTTATTATTTTCTTTCTCATTCTCTTTTTTCATTGAATCTGATCTTGGATCGTGTTTTCTTCTTGTAATGTCTCAGACTTGTCTATACGCTGATCTGTGCAACTTTAAAAACTGCAGTCAATCTCACTTCACTTTCAATTCAGCCAAATATGAAATAATTGATAACTCATTTGCTAATGCTATTTGTACTATTTTTATTTCTGAGTGTCATAACCATTCAACTTCATATTTTACTATAGATGTTAATTGCATTTAAACACTAATTGGCTGAATTGAGGGTGATTTGTCCCGGGGTTTCCCACAGGCATCTTTGGCTAAATTAACTAGAAAGGATTAACGACGAAATGACAAACATTTAGACTTCAACAATTGTCACTGCATGGCTTTAAATATGTCAAATCATCTTATGATGGTCGTAGTCAATGTGTGTGTGAAATACAACAAACTAAACCAGCAGCTGGATCCTAAAAGCTTCCTAACTGTACTCGCCGAATTCATTATCATGAGTCATAATTGTTTACCTGCCAAAATTGAGTTTCTAAACCCTCCAGACACTGCCAGACTTAATTTAGCTTTTAGCATCCAAGTCCCAAAGTTGTAGTTTAAATAAAAAGGCGGACATCCTGAGTGTACGACTGAATTGAGCCTTAATCAGCACCTGAGTCTGGCAGCGGGAGGACTTTATCAGATACATCTTGTCAAACTAATGTGAGCTGCTCCGATTCTTCCAAGATAAAACCCACTACAGATGATATGCTTAGATGAGGTGGAAAAAGACACCTGATGACTGGACGTTGTTGGAGGTATTGACATTCTTTTAAAACGATGCCTGTGGGGAAAACCAAATGCTGCTCTTTTCTGCTTCCTCTTGGTTGGTTCCTCTTGGCCTGTCCTTTTCCTCACTTTTCTGCCTTCTCTTTTTTCCCTTTTCCTCTCTTCCTTCTTCCCCTTCCTCAGTAAAATCATCAAGGTGAGAGTAATCGACGACGAGGAGTACGAGAAGAACAAAACCTTCTACTTAGAGATCTCAGGGCCTCGCCTGGTGGGGAGCAACGACACCAAAGGTCAGGAAAGGGGGGGGGGGGCCTCGTGACCTCTTGACCCCCGGCCACATTGCCGAGGCTGCATGTTCTCATCACATGGAGGAGATTTAGATGCATTTCTCCTGATGTGTCCTCACCATGACAGTGAACATGCAGCAGTTTGTGGATCACCTCATCTCACCACATCCACTCCTCCACCTCACGTGTGTGTGTGCGCGTTTTGTTTATGTGTACATACCTTGCCATGTTGTTTGTTTACCATGCATGCATTCATGACCTCCCTCTATGTATGTGTGTACGTGTGTTCCCATACAGGAAGACCATAACCATTAGGATCTTAGACCGGGAGGAGTACAATAAGCAGTCCTCCTTCTACGTTCTGCTTGAGCAGCCCGAATGGAGACGCAGCGGGAAGGAACGGACAGGTGTGACAGCCAATCAGCACTGAGAATGAATTTAATCAAGGTTTTAGAGAATCCCAAATCAGCAGGCCAAATGCATAATTAGCTTTTATGTTTTAACCTTAAATATATTATTTATTACGATGAATTCACACTAAAGTCACCTCACAAAAGATGTTCTGACGCAGAAGCTGTTATAATTGATTTCAAAGTAAGAGAAATAAACAATATAGCTGTTAAGATTATAAGTGTGTCCTAATTATATATAAAAAATGTATAATACAGCTGATATTATAGTAATGCTAGGTACGGATTGACCTGATCTGATTACACAAGCATACACATTGATAATAATGTATACATAAGCAGCTATTTTACTCTTAGCTGTACTTGCAGCAGTCATACCCTTTTGACTTTAAATTAACCATGAGTTTAAAGGGATACAACGACAGAATGATATTATTTAACATCACCTAAAGTTTGTTCCTAAGTTTAGATGTGATGTCAAAAAACTGTACCAAGCAGAGCATGCATAATGGGAACTTAAGAGTTTGCAGGCACACTTACATAACATTTATCACACCTATGCATTAATCCATTGAGTGTTTTTGGATGCGTTTTCACCACAATGCATTGCACAAAGGAAATGGCGTGCTTGTTACAGAAAGAAAAACTTTTTTTTTTTAATGCTAAAGAAACAGCTCTAGAATCACCACCGAAAACAAACGATAAAACATCTGGAAAAAACACTTTTTGTGCCATTTATTCTAATTAAAAAACACGTATTTCTACTACAATAGTTCATATTTCATGCCGTTATTATGGAGTAAAGACGTGGGCGATAGTAAAGAGAGGCATCTATAGAAAAAAAACATCAGTAACAGAAATATCCATCGAGATTATTTGATCGATAGCTGATGTTTAGGAAGTGTAGCACAGAAAGGCCCAACATGGAGGCAAAGCAAAGAGACAAGGACATGACTGGTTAGAGGACATCGTACTGTAGAGTAGGTGTGATGTTTGTCTCAGTGGACTTTGTGCAATTTAATGCACATTTATTTCATAAAAAGCCCAAATATAGCCCAGGCAGGAGCACTTTGAAGCTGGCAAGGGAAAGAAAGCACTTAACAGCTGGCAATGCAACAAGAAGTCAAATCAAAGCGTCATTTACACTCATGCAGTATTTTCAAAGTGACAAAACGCAACACTGCTCCCTAATCGCTTTGGTTTTAAGCGGCCTGTTGGTTTGGGATTTAGGTTTAACACACAGGAGCGATCCTGCTGCTCCCTTCTGTTCTCAGTTATTCCTTCCTTTTTTTCTGCGTTTCCTCCTCTGCTTCTCCTCAGAGGTCTGTACAGAAAACTCAGTGGGAATCACACCTGTCCTCTCCTTCCTCTCCTTCTCTTTTCCTCTGCGCTGATCCTCTTGTTCCTCCTTATCCAGCTGAGAGCTCGTCAAGCTTGGAGATCTGTTCTCTGCTGGTGTTTTCAAATGTCACACATTGTGGAATAAGCGCACAAAAAGACATGAACAGATCATATCTTAAAGGATGTTCACTGTGTGTATGGCTATCATGTGAATGGCATTTACAGGACACATACATTACCCATACCTTTTACAATACCAACGAATTGCCCTACAGCGAGTCAAAGTCTTACGTTCTGGTCTCATGGTAAGAAATAAACCCCCAGAGCACAGACATGTCACACATATTAATGCAGATTTTTAAGGAAATAGCATAGAAAAGACATTGTTGTCATGAGAAAAACTGCTATCATTATGGGTATCAGAGGTTTTATTAGAATAAAATCAGCCTTTTAAGAAATGCTTTCAGGAACAACAACAAAAGTGTTAAACTATAGAAAACACTGAAACTGTGTGGCATCACAGGGAGAGAATTATCCTCCTTTTATGGAGTAAATTAATAACATTTCCTGGATGTTCACAGTGTACCATTACCATTTCCTGGTATAATAAAAAGAGAGGAAAAGCCACAAGTACACTGCCTTCAGTCTCATCTGAATCATATAACAAGCAAAGCCTCTCCTTCTCAGGGAGACCATTAAACCTGTCTCTGTAGCTAATGGCTGTGAGGCCACCAACACATCATTATCAATTACACTCTGAACATTTATTAAATTAAAACCCCATGGTGGTTATGGTTTCAGATGTGCAGATGTGCGTGTGTGTGTGTGTGTGTGTGTGTGTGTGTGTGTGTGTGTGTGTTGTACATCCGTTTTCCACTGTTTATCCGTTATCACTTCCATGCTTCTCATCTCCCTCCTCTTCTATTACCAGCTAATGTGATACAGAGTTGTAAAAACACAGGCGATTTTCCACTTGTTATTTATTGCCTTTCCAACGCAGACACAGACTAGTGATTGAGATATCCGTAACAGCTGTTGTAGTAGTGATCTATTTCTTTGGTTACACAACATAAGACAAATATATAAAATAAAAGATAAGTGTGCATGGATGTAGTTTGAGGTAGATCAGCAAACGCAGTGTTTTCATGATGTTGTCTTAAGGTGTTTTCATGCCCTTAAATGTTACTGTGTACACTCATTAAGAGTAGCTCTTTATCCATCACACACACACACACACACACGACTAGACACGCAGAGAGAGCATTATCAGTGTGGTAATGGCAGTGTGTGTGTATCAGGCATCAGCAGTGTTTATAGTGATGAGGGGATCAAAGACGAGGGCTGGATATCACATTATCACAGTCAGGAGATCAAACACACCTCCGGGGTAGAGAGACAAAGACACACACATACACACACACAAATACACACAGACGTACTTTCCGTAAGCAGTGGGCTGGTGTGTTTAATAAGTGTGTTTTATGAGCTGATTCTCTCTGTGCTAAATTAGCCCTGCACAGATCTTTATGGCCTCAGCCCATGACGCATGATACCCACGATAGACCATCTTGGATGTGTGTGCAGTAAAATGATACTATAACTCACATCTTATGGTCAGGACCGATCAAAATAACCACACGTATTTGTTATATAATTTGATTGCAAAACCTTATATAACCACTCACAGTAATTTGGTTTAATTATTGTATGATTACCATTTTAATCAAACATCATTTTAAACCCAGCCCATGCTGCATGAAGGAATTCGAGATATTAATATCACGGGTGCTTAATGTGTAATTAAAGGTAAAAATACTGCAGCAAGACTGTTAATCAGTTTTACCTGATAATTGTACTCAGCAATACAAGCCGATCATCTCATAACGACATCTATATTACAAATGTGCATAGTAGCAGTAACATGAAATCAGTCTGTCTTCCAACTGATTTGGTATTTCATGTTTTTCCCTCTCTAGTTCTGTCTTAATATTAAGAAAAGGCTTTCAATTAATGAATCCTTCTCACACAGAAGTAAACGCTGCAGAGAATGTAGAATGTTACATTGATTTTCCCAATGCGATCTGGCACAACCCCACATGTTTCAAACAGGCTTGTAAGCACCCTGCCCCAGAGAGAGTAGCTGAAACCGCTCTCTAATGTTGATTAATGTGTGAATTGCTCCTTCAGATATACATCCCAGAAACCAGCTTTAACATTCAGGGAGTGTGCGAGTGAAAGAACAGAGTCAGCGTTTCTTATCCAGTAACGCCACGTTTCATCTTCTGCCAAACCAGTTCTTCAGAAAGGAAATGCCTCAGAGCCGGAGATAAGAAGCCTGATATTCTTTTCTGTTGATTTTGTTTCATTTGCATTTCTTTATTTGGCTGTAAGCAAACAGGGTTGATAGGATTAAGGTACTGACTAAACAAGCATTGGATCTGACATCTGCTGAGCTGATATGAGGAGCACGTTATACAGAGAGATGGAGAGAAACAGTGTAGTTCAGTCGTTTCTCTTGTAGCTGTTTGACTGAGGACAGGAGAGATGTGAATGAATTACAGGCTTTAGCAGTGCTGAATAAACAGTTAGGGGCTGCTGCTGCTGTTCTGTGATATATTATGCAGCTTAAAAAGTACATTTACATTAACGAGAGTCACATGAACGTAGAGGTACTAGGGTTGCAAAGGAAAGTTTCCATGGGAAGTTAAGCTGGGGAATTTTGGAAATATTCGATGCAAAATTAAACAAAAAACATTTCAACAGATTAAAAAATAAAATGAAAAATGAAAGTAGAACAGAACAAGTTTTTTTCAAAGTGTGATCCAGTCTTCTCGACATTATCTCTGCATGTGATGGAGGAATGCACAGTGCCTGTAGGGGTGTGGTCTCAATAGCCATGCAGTAAGCAGTGTGCTATGGCATGGATATTCAAGTGTACTTGACTGGCATCTGTTTGTTTTAGTCGAGATTATGCTAAAATATACTTTCCCCAACTATATTTAAGTTCCCTATGAAGAGCCAACCTTCAATTTAGAAAATTCCCAGTTTATTCCCATAAATTCCCATTAATTCCCATGGAAAGTTTCCATCTTTGAAAATTCCCGGAATGTTGCAATCCTAAGAGGTACAGATCCTTTTTGAAAAGAACATAATTAAAAGCTTCGATTAGGGGTAGGATAATGTGCAAATGTACCAGGTGATCTTGCCTATCATTTCAACCCTGTCAAGTTATATGTCACCTACTGTAAACTGAAATGTGTTTTCTCTTAAACTACAAGTCGTAGTTTTTAAGAAGGTGGATAATCAGAAATCTTACTTTTTTTCACAGGACTCCAAAAAACGAAACAAACCTGAAACAAAACAAGAAATGCAGAAACACTAGGTTCAGCTTCAAATAAGTATGATTTTTCCTGAAGTGTCTTACGGTCGAGAGAGAAAATTGGCAATGCGTTTTTTTTTAGGAGACCAGTATTATTTGAAGAAAATCCCCAAATGAGCCACAAGCAGTTATTTGTTGTATTTGTAGCTTTTTCAACATTACTTCCACACAAATGGAAAGTAGTCCCTAGTTTAGAGCATACAAATAATGTTTCCCTCCAATCTTTCCAATCAGAATCTGCTTCCCCCCAAATAATTCAGCAGCTGCTTCAAGGTCC